TGCGTTAACGTTGTTCTTTGCTGCTTTATAAATCGAGTCAATATCTACGTACGTGTACAGGATTTATGGCAGTATATACAATGCTCGTTATTACCACCTTACGTACTGGATGTCCGTTGACAGGCTTTCCGACATTAGCAGTTAACTGACAATCAATTAATAAGCTTTTTAGATCGTTTGAGAAAATGTTTGGAACGCTTACTCGATTAATAACTCAACAGTGTTATTTATTACCTCTGATTCGTGAAAGTCTCAAAAGGACAGTTTTGAAATTTAGGAGATATAAATACTGAAACTGTATTAATGTGGAAAATATAGAAGTCATGGAAATTGATATATGGAAGGACAAATATTTAAAAAATTTTTTTAAAGTTTTGGAAAATAATAATTTTGAAAATAAAAAATTTCCAATATCTAAAAATTAAAGAGAGAAATACAAACATAAGTCAACAAGAATAAGTTAATCTAATATAATAATTAATTAAGTGATTATTTATTTATAGACATTATTCGTTTCATTGATTTTACAGCAAATGTTTGTCTCATTTTAATTATTTTAAAAAATTGCTTTGTCCGATATAATCGAATGCTGTTTAAGGATAAACTATATTCAAGAAAATATTTCAATTAACATGTGAATACCGTGAATTTGATTAAAAGTCACTGTAATGGCAATCACTTTCATTGGAATTCCTATCAATATCAGAATTACGGTGATTTCACGAAATTATGGGAATCGAGAAAGATTGATAATTACCGTAATAACCCTACCGAATTGTAAAGTATAAAATCCGTCATAGCATAATACAAATTAGCGAATAATTTGACCGACTACTTGTAACGTAGAAGACGAGGAACTCAAGGATGCGAGTAATTGAATTCGCTTAAAATCGAGAACGATCCTTCGATAATTTACTTTAACCTTGTTCTGTGCACACTATAAATTTATGCAAATAGAATGAAAATTCTTTACAGTAAAAGTGAAATGCGTAACAGACGCTGATAGTCAGCTTTTTAATTCCACGATTAGAGAGCTTGAAATTTGAAAAATTTGCAATGTCATTATTTTTGAGAGTATTTAAAATACTAGAATACTAGTACATCAATACCACAATTTTTGCTTAAAATAATAATCTCTCCTTCTTACCATGCTGCGTTTTAACGACCCTACCTTTCAGTTTCCAATTTTCAATCAAACTTCCCTCAATTCAATACCTCAGATAATTTCATTACCACTACATTGCCACATAATAAAAAAAAATGTCGAAACGTATAAAACCGATCAAGATTCGTTAACACAGCAATACCTCACAATAACAACCATAGGATATCAATTTGAAGCGTAAGGTTCACTGAAAATGGTCGTCCAAACCTTTCATTACCTCCCTTAATATAAAATGGTTGATTGCCAGTTGCAGCAAACAATAAGCAATTTCGAAACGTGTAAATACTAACTCAACTTAGTCCTTATGAAATAAATTTTACGGCGATATAAAAGTATTGCAAAGTAGCACCTTGTTGAATATCAATTTGAACGGTGGAGCCTTCGAGGCTGTACGAGCGAGCCTACGTAAACATTTCATCAATGTTCTTAATGCAAACAGACAGGTTCCACCATGAAGCAAACAACGAGGCAATCAATTTACGGGAAATGATACCTCGTAGCCTCATGTGTCTCTCTAATGTACAGAACTTTTCAAGAAAAGTGTACTTTTTAATATTTCAAACTGTACTTTAATATTTGTTTCGTCGATATGTCGGCCATTTTGTATTTAAATACTAGAAATGTAGAAATGTAGTGAAGGGATATAATTGTCGAGCAACATAGGGATATGGAGACATACGAACATAGGGATATAGGGATCTTGGAGTCTGAGGAAATTGGGATTTTGGGATATAGAGAACTAGGGATCCGGAGATTTGGGGATCTAGGGATTTGGAAATGTAGCGATTTGGGGACGTAGGAATTTTGGAAACTAGGGATCTAGGGATTTTGGGAATATAGAGATTTTGGGATTTAGGGGTTTTGTGAATTTTGGGATCTTGAGATTTTGGGGTCTTGGGAATTTGAGAACTAAGGAATTTGGGAATTAGGGAATTTGGGAACTAGTGAATTTGGGAACTAGTGAATTTGGGAACTAGCGAATTTGGGAACTAGCGAATTTGGGAACTAGCGAATTTGGGAACTAGCGAATTTGGGAACTTGGGAATTTGGGAACAAGGGAATTTGGGAAATAAGGAATATGAAAACTAGGGAATTTGGGAATTTGAAAATTTGGGAACTAGGGAATTTGGGAACTTGGGAATTTGGGATCTAGGGAATTTGGGAAATAATGAATATGGAAACTAGGGAATTTGGGAATTTGAGAATTTGGGGACTAGCGAATTTGAGAACTAGCGAATTTGGGAACTAGAGAATTTGGGGACTAGCGAATTTGGGAACTAGCGAATTTGGGTACTATCGAATTTAGGAACTAGGGAATTTGGGATCTAGGGAATTTGGGAACTAACGAATTTCGGAACTAGCGAATTTGGGAACTAGGGAATTTGGAAAATAAAGAATATGGAAACTAGGGAATTTGGAAATTAGGGTATTTGGGATCTAGAGAATTCGGGGGTCTAGGGATCCTGAAACCTAGGAATTTGGGGATTTAGGGATATGGGGATCTAGGGATTTGCGGATCTAGAGATCTAGGCAGCTAGAAATTTGGGAATCGAAGGATCTAGGGATCTAGGAATATAAGGATTAAGAAATATAAGGTTCTGTAAATCTAAGAACATAGAGATCTAGGGATTTCGTGATTTAGAGATTCAATGACACAAGAATTTACTGATTTACATATTTAAGTGATTTAGTGATTCACGAATTTAAGGATCGTGAAGATAATTGAAGCTTGTAATCACTCACCTTCAAACTACCAATGTTCAATCGCACATTTCCTTATAAATTGTAAATTATCAATTAATCTTTTACTAAAAAATCCACATACGTGTGAGTTTCATGTCAATGGGTACCGTCAAAAATTCTTAAGATTCTTTTTTCTTTTTTCCTCGGTTACGATAGCGCAAAATAAGCCTTCAAGTACCGAAACGATCGAAGCCTCCATAATTTTGGCAATTTTCAGAAATTCCTTAATTTCAAGTGCCATTTCGATTTTACTGGAAGTATAATGACGGTCTTACGACGAGCCTTGACGAAAGAAGCACGCAGCCATCACTTGTCTTTTGTGTCCGTTTACGATTCATTAAAAACGTTTGCGAACTTCAAAGAAATACCGAAAATTGCATTCTGTGAACCAGGCTTCGTTAATATCGCTGGAAAATTAATCGTACGGTTCATGCTTCAGGTTCTTTATTCACAGAAATGCGTGAAGTTTTTATTGGTTTCGAAAAATTCCTCCGAAGGCTGATTTAACGGTATTCAAATTCTGTACTTTGTGAAATATGTGATAATTATACAGGACAAGGTACCTGATCATTTTCAATCATCTTGTACGTTATTATAATTTATGACATGAATATTGTTTAATGTAGTTTCAATAGCTCTTTTTTTTTAATTATAAGATTTATATTATTATACAGATTGTCCTGTGCAATTTTAAGTACAAAAAAGTAAATTAAGCAGAAGATGTCTCAGTCCTCAGAAAATCAGATCAGAAAAATGTTTAAAAAAATGTGGAAGCATATTTTTGTCTTCGACCCTGAATGATACAAAAGCAAAAGCACAAGAAACTAGCAATCACTCCCCTGACATTTACGCGATGAAAAACATCAGAAGCAATTTTCGTCTCAATTGGTACATCGATTGTCGAAGAAATAACGAGAACTGTTCGAAACAACTCAGCACTCAGAGTTCGCTAATTTACTTTCGGTATCTGTTAAGATCGGTGTCGTTGCTTTCCATCTCGGGTAACGTTCGAGCACCTGACGAACGTGTGCTCTTAACGCTCTCCGAAGGTCGTCGCTTTTAAATACGCTAGGAAATGAGATGTTTCAGAAGATAACAAGGTGACAGCTATGAAAGACGAGTTAAAGCTCCGCGGTGTAATAAGCTGCGACCGTTTGCCAGACTTTACTGCGGCCACGATGTAATTTATAAATCGCTCGGATGCACCTGGCACGACCTTCGGATGGTCAGAAAACGCGGGGTCACGATTGAAAAATACACGCGACGTGTTCCGTGTGTCCTCGGATCATAAAATACTTACCAACTTGTTCACCGATTCCACGTGGCTTTAATGGCCGTGCGGTAGTCCGCTGAGGTCCGATACCTCTTCTCTTTTTCTCCACACTTTTTCGTCCCGCTAATTGCACGATCCGTGCGATAGGGTGCTTTTTACTGGAAAACTTTCTGCCGGATGATTCACCATTATTTTTGTCATAGATACTCATATTAACAAAGATCCAGCGTGACATAGAGAAGAGATAAATAGGTTAGGATACTAATAGGTTAGAATTTAAGCAAAAGAAATTTAGTAACATAGAAGTTAATGTGGATGAATTATTCAAACATGTAGAAGTTTGACAGACTCGACATTTGGAGAATTAACCCCTTGTCATATGATTTATTTCATCAAATATATCACTCAGTAACATCTATTCATTGCTACATCAAAACGAAGAAAGCTACAGTGTTCAATTATTCGGTGATCCTTGACTAAGTAAATTAGACTTGAACTTTACAATTTGAAGTATTTTGTAGGATTAAGAAATCCAATATTATTGACAGACTCGACATTTGAAGAATTAACCCCTTGTCATATGATTTATTTCATCAAATACATCACTCGCTAATAACTATTCCTTGCTACATCAAAAGAAAGAAAGCTACAGTGTTCAATTATTCGGTGATCCTTGACTAAGTAAATTAGACTTGAACTTTACAATTTGAAGTATTTTGTAGGATTAAGAAATCCAGTAAGATCTCATTTGAATTGTCACCAACCAAACTCGTCAAATGACATTCCACATTCCACTCAGCATAGCCAAATATTTTGCAGGTACTGCTGCAGGCGGCACTGGTGTGGGACGAAGTACACAGCGCTCCAGCGAAAAGAAACGACATCCTTGCGGGCACGGAATTCCTGTCAGTCTTCATAAACGGCGCCATGGCGACACCACCCCAGCGACGTAGAGGTTTCCGACGAGGACAGTCAACGACAATCGGGGACAGCGCAACAGCCGAGTCGCACCAGCACGAGGCATCGATTTACCGAATATCTCGAAATCCTGCCAACAGACAGGTCATCCCAAGAGCGCGGAACACCAGTGGCCGGGAAGAGGTGGTTCGTTTCTATCCGATAAGCCATAAAACCCTGGAGAACCGACAGCAGAACTTAGCCTCGTTGATCGACGAATTGGGCACCAGCAGCGATATATCGTCGACGAGATTAACGCCTCAGAGTCCGAGCACCACGGTTACGTCAGTGGCGTCTCGAGAGAAGGCACCGACGAGGACAAACGCTACCAATGCATCTAGCAAGCCAGTCAGTCGGCAAAAGGTCATAGGCGTCAGCGTGACATCCACAGTGGAAGCCACGCCGTACAAGGTCAGGGTGGAGCACTACGATGCCGGTGATTCGACCGTTGTCACCCGAGCTCCAGGTTCTGCCAGCAGTTCCTTGAGAGAGTCGAAAGAACGGAGTACCACGGTGAGGCCTCTACCGACGAGAACGACCACCACCGCGAGAACGACGACTGTCACGACGAAGACGTCGACGGTGATGTCACCCTCCTCCAGCTTCGTCACCGAGGAGCTCAGCAACATCGTGTCCGAGTCGAACAGGAGCGAGTTCTCCGTCGACGAAGGTTCACCGAGCACCAGCTGGCGGGGCCAAGGTTCGGTAACTCCTGGACCAGCAACGAAGCACACGCCTACCTACGTCGAACATCGAACGGAGGTCAACGTCTCCTCGCCTAACTCTCAGGAGGACATGATAACTCTTCCTACGGAGGAAAATTACGAGCTGCCGGAAGAGAACGCGGAACCAAAGGAGTACAACGAGGAGCCAGAAGAACGTTTTCAGGCGCAAGGTCGGAAGGCCGGTAGACATTACGATACTTCGCAGTACAATCGACCTGGCTCCAAAATGTACTCCCAGTCGTCGAAGAACTACAAATCGTCACGACCGTACGAACCAGCGAAGCTGTATAACGAACCGGCGAAAGTGTACGGGGAACCAGAGAAAGTGTACGGAGAACCTGCCAAGGTGTACAGCGAGCCTGCCAAGGTTTACAGCGAGCCGGCGAAAGTGTACGGGGAACCAGCCAAGGTGTACAGCGAACCCGCGAAGGTCTACGGTGAACCTGAAAAGGTCTACTCGGAACCGTCCAAGGTCTACTCGGAACCGGCCAAGATTTACTCCGAGCCGGCTAAGGTTTACTCGCAACCCGCCAAAGTGTACAGCGAGCCTAGCAAGATTTACGATTCCGAGGGGGAGCCGTTGAATCGGCAGCACGCCGGGGAACCTGAACAGAATTACGAAGTCGACGAGTCGGTCAGTGTGAGCAGCAATGGGAACGTTCATGGGCCTCAACTGATCCTCACGGAGCCCTCGAACGCTTCCGAGGTCGAGGATGGCCACAAAGTAGGCTACGTGGTCGAGGGCAGGAACTACAGGAAATACAGGGTCGAGGAGAGGACTCCGGATGGCTTCATCGTCGGGGAATACGGTGTGGTTAGCCACGATGATGGCTCGTTGAGAGGTGTACGGTACACCGCGGACGGGACTATCAATCCTCGACTGATTTATGACGCATTGATGAAGTTCCTTGCTCTATGAGAGAACGAGGATAATTTTAGAATGAAGTGCACGAAGTCGACCCATCGCGTAGCTTTGCTCGATGTTCGAACTTAACGACTGATCTTTTCAATTGCTCGCAAACCAACTGCCTCAGAAATTAATGTTAATTTTGATCGGATATCGCGTGGATCTCTGTAGATTTGTCGAACGTTCTTTCTCTCGGTGAAACCGAGATGCACGAGTAGAAGAGAACGTAATATATTTGCAATGATAAAAGTGATGTAGAGTAACGTTATCATTGAGAAAATATCGGTAGAGATTGTATAGCTTTTAGATCTGATGGCCATCGGTGACTAGTACCGTCATTATTCAATTTAATTTAATCAAACGCAAGGAATGAAAGACGACTTTGAGTACCGTTCATAAATTTAATAGCGACATTAACGTGGATCAGTGACTAATGAAACCATCGTATCCTTGATAATTTTTATTGAAGTGCAACGGTACATCTGGCTTCTACTGCAGATTTGTGACTTTTAGCCGATGACACAAGCTATGATCATTGAAATAAAAATAGTCAATGTGCAAGTTGCTATAAATATTGATGATTTTTAATTTCATTGTTAAGAGTTAATAATAGAAAATCTTTGAAAGAACACTAAGTGTCCTTTAGTGGATACTTTTTGTTCAATATGTAGAAATCTCAGAATTTTACAAGCTGAAACTTTCAATGTTACAAACTTAATTCGAAGATCACAATTTCTACATCTTTTATTACGAATTTAAAAATTTGAACAATTAAGATTTTCACGCGGTCGTTGATCAGCTGCTCTCTGAATTCAATGTCAAATACGTAAGAATAAGCACAATAATGCATCTAATAAGTATCAAAGATAAGCTGGTTGAGCTGGATAATGCCGATAGCAATCTTCGTCACCCAGTCGTTTCTGCGGCCTGGAAAAGGTCACGGTGATCCTCACGCTGGTTTCGCGATCCACTCTTTCATCAGAGACGTTGAAATTATAAAGGATACGAAGTTACACAGTATTCATGAACAACGAGAAAACTGGAAAAATTATACAACACGAGGGCACACTTTCAACTTTATTCAATTTTCATTTTCATGTGTAAGACAAAAATTTTTTATTCAATACTTTCTTTCTTCATTTTCTAAAATTGTGTTTCTAAAATTGGTGTCCTGTTAATCATTTTTAAGGGACTCTCTAAAATTGTTATTCTTTTGATCAATTTTTGTGGACTATGTCTAAAATTGCTGTTCTGTTAATAACTTTTGATGGACTCTGTCTAAAATTGATATTCTTTTGATCAATTTTTGTGGACTATGTCTAAAATTGCTGTCTGTTAATAACTTTTGATGGACTCTGTCTAAAATTGATATTCTTTCGATCAATTTTTGTGGACTATGTCTAAAATTGCTGTTCTGTTAATAATTTTTAATGGACTCTGTCTAAAATTGATATTTTTTTTATCAAGTTTTGTGGACGATGTCTAAAATTGCTGTTCTGGTAATAACTTTTAATGGACTCTGTCTAAAATTGATATTTTTTTGATCAATTTTTGTGGACTATGTCTAAAATTGCTGTTCTGTTAATAACTTTTGATGGACTCTGTCTAAAATTGATATTCTTTTGATCAATTTTCATGGACTATGTCTACAATTGTTGTTCTGTTAAAAACTTTCAATAGACACTATCTAAAATTGTTATTCTGTTGAACACAGTTATTTGAGTACAATTTTAATATTTCTCAATGAGTCATAACACTGTATGAATAAGCACAATTTTGCCATCAATATCATTTAAAAAAAATTTGACTAATAATGTTCAAAATTTAAAATGAAATCATAATACAGTATTACCTATAATGAATTAAGAAAGTGTGACAACTGCGACTCGTGTTTACAAGAACCCAACCTAACCACATTACAAGCTCCCAAAACGTGAGCTCACAAAATGAAACGAAACAAAAAACATTCCATAAAAGTAGATATAACACGATAGTTATTATAACATAACCGTTTCTAAAACGCTAAAGTTATAATTTAAGAATCGAATTCGTCCAAAGCGACGCGACAAAGTCGACCAAAACGAAAATGACTGATTCCTTCGCTCTTGCCAACGCAGCTGCCTCAACGATTAATTTTAAGGACCTAACCATGCGATCTGGGATCTAAGAATCCGACGATAAAGTATATAATTCGCAATTTGGACGTCGAAGCACGTATTCATCGTATCGGGAGATGTTCGCTGGACGATTCGAAACGCGGGGAATTCGAAATGACATTGTGAAACTTGACAAATGAAAGTGCTCTGGGTGGCGAAAGTATATATAAACTTTTGTGTGCTGCCCGAGATGGCCTTTTGACTCGCGTCAGTGACTCCTGCATCGAGGAACATTTCTTTTACCTTCGTCTAGCGATTCCTCGTGTGGAGATCCTCGATCGTGGCTCCTCGTAGTTGCGTAATTTTTGTGATCGTGTTAACCCTTTCGCTGCGATGCGTAAGACTTCTCGAGCAACTGTATTCTCACAGCTGTTGTATTTCTGCATCTAACTGTAGATTGTGTCTTTTCCACAGATTAACTTTATCGATATTTTCTATGAAGCTCAGAATAAAATTTAATAAAACTACCTTTAAATGTAAACTTACATTTAAATTGAATGTAACATATATTATAATGTGACAAACATAATGTCACATAAAATGTGGCAGATATTTTCACAGAAAAACCAGCCACATTTTAAAATATAGGATGCCAAGCTAGATAAGTTGTTTTAGGTTAAGTTAGGGTTTTTAACACTTTATCAAGAAATTGTAGAAAAAATTCATAATTAGAAGGAAGTTTTATTTGATGCCACACAGGGTTTGTCCATAAACTCTCAGCAGAATATTCTATAAATTAAAATCATAAGAATATGTTGTATAAATGTCGGGTCTTAAATTGAGAGATATACTTAAAACAAGAAAATTGACCTACTAATTGTGAAACACTCTGTAAATACAAAAAAGTCGTACGTAACATCAAATTAAAAAATCGTCACTAAGCTGTGAAAATACAGATGTTCGATTATTTTTCTGTGTGTAAACGAAATACAGCAATTATCGATCAGGGTGTCGATGGTAGAAAAATGTTTCGCAACCGCCTAGAAATAAGTAATAAAATCGTAACTTATCGGCGATCGCGATTAGCGAAAGGAACGCCGTAGTGAAAGGGTAAAACGCAAATCCGTTTTTCGTCGAGTGTTACAATTAGAAATAATGACGGAGAGATGGCACGGTGTCTTATTCGGTTACTATTGCTTTCGATTGACTGTTGTGCGAATACTTGTCTCTTCCCTTATTTAATTATGTTCTACTCGTATCATTAATTGTAAAGGAATTAAGCAGCGGAAGATCTTGAGAAGAGAGAAAAGAAAGGTCGTGTACTGTCACGGCGACGCTTCTGTGATGAAAAAAAGCGCATCGAGAAGTCGCAGCTGCCAGGGCCTCCCCTTTTCGAATTTCCCTTTAATTGTAAGCTTATTTAATTCGATTCATTTAGCGATAGTTGAAGGCTCCGCAGCTGCGATGAACCTGCTGACTTGTCACGGCAGCGTATCTGTGCTAAGTTTGTTAGTTTTCGAAGTTCTTAGGAACTGCTCACTTGACGAGAAGCCGTAGGACGTAAGACGATATTGTTATTTTATTTCGAGTTAACCCTTTCGCTGTGGATACCATAATTACCAACATCATCAATCATGTGATCAATCATTAGACATGAAAATCAATGACTATCAAATTTGTTTTTTTTACGCAAAATAAAATATGGAACTCTAAGATAAATATAAAAGTCGAATACATGAATAGTATGAATAATATTAATACTAAAATGGTCAAATACTTGTTAAACGTTAGTAGATACACACTTGTTGAATTATTAATAAAAATTGGTATTCGTATACAGTCACTCTAGATACCAATTTCAACATTCTTTTATTAGACAATTTTTTGAAAAAAAAAAAAAAAAATATATGACTCTTTTGCTATATCTTAAAATTACAATAATGTATTAAATTTGAAAGAATTGTAACAAAAATACATCTTGACTTTTGTGTCTGTTTTGGATCAAACTTTGGAGTCTTCCATTTCCAAAATTCTATTAATAAATAAATAATCTTCTATTTCATTAAATAAATATTTTTCATGAAATGAAGCTTGAAAAGTGACTATTCTGAACTTCAAAAAATTTCTGTAGAAATTAAAAGAATCAAATGAAGGTTTAATAAAAAAAGATTTCAAATATTTGACCATCATCAAAAGAAAGTTGAAGTATCAGTCTAAAGAATAAATAAATTGTAAGATAATTATCGTGCAATAAATACCGCAGCAAAAGGGTTAAATAACTCATTCTTCCTCATTACCTCAATCTTTGAGATAGTTCCTCCTGCCACTTAAACGAAACGTATCACACGCGTACTCACCTTAAATTATATACGATATGTCGATCGTTCCCATGTGCATGCGCTCAAAGTATACCCCCATCGACGATTTTTAATCATTGGTGTTTTGATTGCGTCGAAACGATTCCCGAAACATCGTTCGTTCGAATGTTGCTCATCCTCGTAGGTTAAGTGCGTGTTCATTGCCTTTACCTTTGCATGTAAGCGATAAAGTATTCCGATATGTTACAGGTGATATCGTTTTATTCTAAGGACTTCATTACGTTACGCGTACATCGTAGCATAATGTTTATTATTAAAATGATTATGTATAGCGCTGTGCAACCATTTGTCATTTCTCGAAAGCAACTTTGTAATAAATTCCATTGTCATAATATCATTGTGCTTGAATTTTATTACCTGATTGACTTAATAACTTAATAATGACTTATTTATTTGGTGATAGCATGGTGTTAGGGCTGAGAAAATCAAATTTGGAATTTTTGTAATTTTGGTAATTTTGGTAATTTTGGCAATTTTTGTAATTTTGGTAATTTTGGTAATTTTTGTGATTTTTGTAATTATGGTAATTTTGGTAATTTAGGAAATTTAAGAAATTTAGGAAATTTAGGAAATTTTGGAAATTTAGGAAATTTAGGAAATTTTGGTAATTCTAGTAATTTAGGAAATTTAGGAAATTTTTGTAACTAAGGAAATTTAGGAAATTTAGGAAATTTTTGTAATTTTTATAATTTTGGTAATTTTGTAATTTGGGCCAATGGAGATTTGGAAATTTGGAATTTTGGCAATTTCCTAATTTGGTGCAATGGGAATTAGAAAATTTAGAGATTTGATGATTTGGTAATTGGAGCAATGAGAATTTGGAAATTTGGGATTTTGGTAATTTTGTAATTTGGGCCAATGGAGATTTGGAAATTTGGAATTTTGGCAATTTCCTAATTTGGTGCAATGGGAATTAGGAAATTTAGAGATTTGATGATTTGGTAATTGGAGCAATGGGAATTTGGAAATTTGGAATTTTGGTAATGTTATAATTTAAGGCAATAGAAATTCAGAACTTTGGAATTTTGATAATTAGAATTTGGAACAATAAAAACCTAGAAGTGTGGAAATTCGGTAGTTTACTAACCTACAAAAATAACGTAGAAAATTTAGAAATTTCTATATTTGGTAATTTGGTACCTTAGACCAATGGTAACATAGCAAATAAAAATTCTCCCAATTTAATATAAATTTAGAAACTAAACAAACTTCTAATTCTCACTCCAGAATAAATACATTCCTCCACGTCGCCATTTTCCTCGCGAAATTCTATCACGCACAACCCAAAACAAGCAACACCTACAAAGAATAATGTCAATCACGTTTGCAGCATATTTCCCACCGATATCAGAATACCGAAGTAAATTCTTCTTACAGGCAATTTTCATAATGATCTCTCAAAAGCGGTTTCCCCTCAGAGCAAGGTTAGCTCTTTGCACAATCGAAACCAACGTGTACTCGCTAGTTTGCCTGGCTAAAAAAAATGATTTATACGATGATTATGGACATGAATGGAAGCCGATAATGGGACGGTTGTAGAGGTGAAAAGGTATTGAGCGATCAACTTAAGAGAATAAAGGGCTGTAACTGGTCAGCGAAGCACCTATAGAACTAATCATACGACAATAATTCACACTTATGAACTTTAATCCGTGCTCTCGATCGAATCGACGTTGTGATTTTATCGGGACGTGAAAGAAAAATTAATTTAAATATCATGAACACGCAGCCGCAGGCTATGAAACGTTGAAGGTACATGGCGTGTTATTAAATGGGCAAGGAGCCACGGATGCAAAGATTGCTTTTTAAAATGTTGTTTCTTTTATGGGGAATCCGTCATACATTCGATTTATAACCTCTTACTGTATTTACAGGATTTGTGCGATTATATCGGATATTTTTGACTAATTCAAAATTGTTTCTACAAGAATATTAGGTTAGAATTTTATTTCATAGTTAGAACTTTTTGGTTAGTTTTTATTATACGTGGACATTTCTGAAATGTTGAGGGAGGATTTTATTAATATTATTATAATGTTAAGTAGTTTAGTATAAATTACTAAATGATACTGTATATCATATTTATTTTAGTATTTTAGTACTAGTTTATAGGGGTAGTTTATTCGAGCAAGGTCACTTAAATGTCTCTTTAAAATTTAATTGTATATGAAATATTTTATATGTTATTTAAATTTTCTCAAAAGACCAGTATGTTGCAAGAATATTTTTTTCTCTAAGATTTTATTTTTAAGGAATTTTTCAAAAGACCAATATTCTGCAAGAATAAATTTCTTCTCTAAAATTTTTTTTTTAAGAAATATTCAAGAGGCCTCCTTCTTTAGAAGTACATATTATTTCTATCACGTCAATAATTAAATAAAGCATTCTGACTCCATATCCACAATTATATAATTACACCCATAAACTCATAATTATCAGTCACCGTAATTCACTACTTATTTACACAAAAATATTGCTGCACAACAGTCCAACATTTTTGAGCTCGTTTCATAATATCACAGGGAGAGTATTTTTCCAGTAAAGCTGTAATTAGTTAATGATGTCTCTGTAACTAATGTAACATAATTTCATAGCAGTAACCTTGCAGTGAATTCTGTGCAGTCGATATGTTCATTCCGAGACAGATGCAATTGATACAAATTTAATAATTACTCCTTAGAACGCTCGTTCCTCTTTGACATATTGAATAAATACTCTGGTGGAAAGCTAGTAATCAAAATATTTGAAGGTGAGAATTATCCCTTATTCGAATCGGTAAATCAAAAGTGATCACTGCAGAGTATAGCCATCTGCGCTGCTTCAAAATTGTGATTAATATCGACCTCTGGAGATAATTACTGTACGATCTTTGTGCTTGTTATATCTTTCATCGACGGAGTATTAATAACGTGTTGTTCACGGTCTTGTATTTAGAAGTGGTTGCTATGTCTGAATATATTTTTTTGGTAGCAGAAGTCTGGTAGTATAAATTTTGCAATTAATAAATTTAAAAATTTACAAGTTTAGAAAGTTTAGAAGTTTGGAAGTTTAGAAGTATAGAAGCTTACAAGTTAAAATATTTACAAGTATGCAAGTTTGCAAGTTTACAAGTTGACAATTTTACAATTTTACAATTTTACAATTTTACAATTTTACAATTTTACAATTTTGCAATTTTACAATTTTGCAATTTTGCAATTTTATAATTTGACAATTTTACAACTTTACAACTTTACAATTTTACAATATTACTATTTTAGAAATTTACAAGTTTACAATTTTACAATTTTACAATTTTACAATTTTAGTATTTTAGAAATTTACAAGTTTACAAGTTTACAATTTTACAATTTTAGTATTTTAGAAATTTACAAGTTTACAATTTTACAATTTTACTATTTTAGAAATTTACAAGTTTACAAATTTACAGACTTATACATTTAAAAATTCACAAGTTCACAAATTTACAAATCTGTATATTTAAAAATTCACAAGTTTACAAATATACAAACTTATACATT